CAGTGGGCGCAGCTGGGCTGGCCGCTGCCCGCGCCCGGCGACGAGCTGGCGGCCGAGCTGCGCGAGCCGGCGCCGCAGCCGCCCCCCCTCGCCGCTGCCCCTCACGCCGCGCCCGCGCGACGCCGGCGCCGGCGACGTCGTCGTCGTCGCCGTGGCCGAGCGCATCATCCAGCTCAAGGTGGGACCGAGCGGAGCGTTGCCTTCCTTTTGACGCTCTGCGACGACGACTGTCGAGAACGGCGAGTTTACTTTCATTCCTCGCATTGACGTTGATGACGTTAGTGTAAGAATGTCAATCTCTTTAAACTTATCTCTTATGGATACTCTGGGTTCCAGATTGTAAATTGAGCCGCACCGAACCGCACGTTTCTGCAGGACAAAGATTCTATTAATATCGACGGCATCGACCGTATCAAACTGTTAAAGTTGCAGAAATAAACTAATGTAACTGTGTCAACGTGTGAAAGTTTCCGTATTTTTTTTATCGCGTACACTGCAGAGCTGAGCCGTTTCGATAACTTATTTATTTGTGGACCCCAAAGGACAACTGTATCTACAACATTAAATTTTTCGCTTCTAACTATAATGTTTGTTTCCGTCTGTCTAACATTGGGTAATGTAAATTTCGCACAATTTGTTTTTTTTTCTCATTCAAAAGAAAGTTATACTACAAACCAATTTACTACTTTAGATATAGCATTGTTCACCTCGTCATAGCAACATTGGTGCCATTTAACTTTAAACAATAAAGAAGTATCATCAGCAAACAATACTATGCCACGTTACAAACCCTCCATGAGGCTAGGTAAGTCATTAATATAAACTAAAATAAAAAATGGACCTAGAATTGCACCTTGAGGGACGCCCATACTAATTGCAGACCCTGATGATTTCATACGTTGACATCGATTCACTGTACCCTCCCACTCAAATGTGATTTAAGAAGGTCCAGGTCACGGCCTGCCACTCCATAATGGCGAAGTTTCCTAACTAGAGTATCACGGTGCACAAAATCGAAAGCCTTGGAAAGGTCACAGAATAAACCAACAGCATCATGTAAGTCTTCCCACACATCAAATATATGTTTTATCAACTCCACACTAGCATCGGTTGTAGAGCGGCCCCGAGTGAATCCAAATTGTTTAGGAAACATTAAATTATAAATGCAAAAATTTGCACACATCTGATTTAGAATTGATTACATCTATTTGCCAAATTTTATTGAAACCGGTTACCAGAAAGTGCGCGAAACCGAATTCATCACCTACTTTGCCACCCTTAGAAGTGAAATATTTCCGTCAAATTCAAATGGGACCAATACTGAACCCTTTTTCCAACAAAAAAAGAATGATCAAAATCGGTTGACAAATGCTGGAATAATTACTTAACATACACAAAACAAAACAATCCAATTGAGAAGCTCCTCCTTTTTTAAAGTCGGTTAAAAAACGACAGCCATCTTTAGCATGAGAAAGAATTAAAAAAAGAAAACATGAAATTGTTATAAAAAAGTCATAGCGATCTATTACGTTACGAAAGCTACAGCCTAAAGATTTAAAAAACGGAATATATTTTACTAAATTTAACAATAACGAGGACAAAACCTTTCTCCAAAACTACCGACCCATCTTGCTCCTGAGTCATGTATATAAGCTGTTCTCGATGATGACCACGAATCGTCTTACCCGAAAATTCGATTATTTTCAGCCACCGGAGTAGGCTAGATTTCGAAAAAGCTTCAGTACTATAGACCACGTACATACCTCGAGACAAATTATTCAGAAGACCGAAGAATATAACTAGGAACAAGAATCGGCTTTTTACGAAAAAGCCTTCGACACCATCGAGATCTGGGCTGTTCTGGACTCCTTGCGGAGATGTCAGATCGACTGCCGTTACATCGAGGTGTTGAGAAATCTTTAAGCTGTAGCTACGATGACCGTCCAAGTCCAAGGACAGAGCAGAATACCAATTCAACTGATCACCGATGGAGCAGACTTGTTTTGTAATGGCGACTACGTCAAGGAAAACGTAGTGTGGGACGACCTGCGGCAAGATAAACGGACGACCTGAGAAAGGTGGCCGGCACCGGCCGGATGCGGGCGGCACAAGACCGGGAAAATTGGCGTGCTCAAGGGGAGGCTTATGTCCAGCAGTGGAAACGCGTAAGCTGATCATGATGATGATGATAATGAAATTTAACAAGACAAAGGTTTGACAAAAATGATGAAATGAAAATATAATTCAAATAAAAACTAAAACGAGATGCGATTTTGGAACAAAGGTGTCTCGTTCTCGCGAACCGCGCTGGCGAAAAAAGAGGCGACAATTTGTGCATACCGTTGTCAGTCTGGTGCTACCGTAATAAAAATTGAATAACATAGAACTTAAAATAAAAAAAAACCAACACAAAACAATGAAAAATGTTAATAAAGTCGGCACGTGTCTACTGCTCGTGGAGACAAATGAGTGCGCCCAAACCGACTGTTTTGTTGTAAGCAGTTGGAGGAATTGAGTAGTCTGACAGCTGCTCTGGTTGCGGCATCACACCAAGGTCGTCATGTTGTTGTAGTGCCAGCGGATTTACACCTTTTTAAGTGGATTAGACTCGTGGAAGTAAAATTTATATTCATTGTATGTCTGAGATCTCTACATTAAGTGGGAAGAGCTGTTGATCTTTTAACAACTTAGCAGGTATACATCAAACTTACATAAACCATCTCGGTTAAAATCACTTTTTTTAGATTAGAGGTCAATCTGTCTGCTCCGGAGTTGCGATGCCACAGACAAAGACTTCAAGCTTATGACTCTCCTCTTTTAGTGTCTGAGTTTGTAAATATCCCCCCACGTTAAGTGTATAATCAATTCGTGGAACGTTCCAGGAGCAGGTATGCCTAACGCTGGAGGGCCAGCCCACGCCCTCCCTGCAGACGTGCCTCGCGGCCTGCGCGGCATGCTGCGCGCCCTCCAACGCGGCGTGTCGCCTGCCCGCCAGGAAGGCTCTCCTGCAGCTGAGCACGGAGCTCTGCATCGCCATCGGTAAGGGTCAATTTGTTTAACATTTTTTTTTATTTATTTCCTTAACAAAATAGTTTGTGTTGGAGAAAAAATACAATTACAATTAAAAACTTACATCAAATACAAAATAATAATAAGAGACCGAACATAATTTAATATATTATCGAGTCATTAAGGCAAAATGATGATAATAATAATACAATAATAAGAACAATGTCAAATTAGATACCCTTATCACGTTTAAATACATGAAATTAAATTAAAGTCAAAAGCCTCCAACAACAAATTCTTCAATGCAATAAAATGATTTACCCAACAAGAAATATTTCAAACTCTTTTTGAATTATATAGAATCCTGTGTTATTTTAAGTTCGGCAGGGAGACTATTAACCATTTTTGATGTTTGATATCTTGGATAGTCTAAGATATCAACAATATTTAACTTTGGTGTTATTACACCATGTATGTCCTTCCTCCTAGTAACAAACTTATTTTACTCGGTCTCCTTACTAAATTCTGACGAACTTTCTATCACGCCGGTCAACACCTCTGAAATATACAGACAAGGAACCGTTAATATAGATAGTTGTCTAAAGTAAGGTTTACACCACTCCCAGGGCGGAATTCTAACAATGGTTCTTATTGCTCTTTTCTGTAGGGCAAAGGCCTTTTTTACGTTATAGTCATAGCTATTACCACAAAACCTGATACTATATCTTAAATGTGACTCGACTATAGTATGATATACCATTTTTAAGTCAGCGACAGAGGCTTCATCTCGCAGGGATCGTAGAGCCGAGCAAGTTGAACTTATTTTATTTTCTAATTTACGAAGTTCTGCTTACCAATTTAAATAAGAGTCAATGTAGATACCCAAAAACTTTACAGCTTCTACCGTTGGTATATTTTTATTACTCATCATGATGTTCTTGCGTTCGTGGTTTCTAGGTGTTGTTCAGATCAATAAAACGAATGTCTTGCTCGTGTTAATGATGAGATTGTTATTTTTTAACAAAAGTCACATGTTGACTAGAGCTCATTAGCTTTGTGCTCGAGACTTACTAAATTTTCAGCTGTTATGATAGTGTTATGAAAACTACTAATTTCACATTTGGAAATTTGTCTTCAAAAAATGTAATTAAGTCATTGGTAAAAATAATAAACAGAATTGGACCCAATACAGAGCCCTGTGGTACGCCTCTTTTCATTTTAACTGCCCTTGACTTGCACTACACCAACTCCTCAGACTCAACACTGTTGACCGCTACAAACTGGTATCGGTTGCTAAGAAAAGACTGAAACATTTGCAATGTTTTACCCCGTACACCGTACACCATAGAGTTCAAATTTTTTCGCCAGAGCTACGTGATTTATTGTATCGAAAGCGGAACTCTGATCAAGAATAATCTCAGTACTAAAAAACCGACCTGAAAAGTTCGTGGAATTACATTTATTTGCCAAGTTATATTGAAATTGGTTACCGGAAAGTGCGCAAACCCGTATTCAACTCCTAGTTTGCCACTATACGGGACTTGACACAGGAGATAATAAAAATCGATGCTCACTGCTTAAGTATATTGAGAGAGAAAAAACGCCTTGAATTGAAGAATAGCAAAATCAACCATTAAAATAATTGCTCCTTATAATAAAATTTTGGCTCTATTTATAAAAATGAGTCTTCGTGCGTGAACATCCACCATTAGAGGTGGATGATTTTGTTTCAAATTAAATGTGACCACTAAGGAGGTACCATCTTCCCAACACAAAAAGAATCATCAAAACCGGGCCACAAATTTAATTTAATTTAGTTGCCGGAGTTATCGCGTAACATACATAAAAAAGATACAGTCGAATTGAGAACCTCCTCTTTTTTTGAAGTGGGTTAAAAAGACCAGAAACTTTCTTTATGTACACATATATTCTAAGCCCTCTGATGTGTTAAAAAACCGCAAATTACGACCAGCTTGAAGATAAACTGTTTTGTTAGAACCAATTTCTTATCCGTAGAAATGTTGTTATTGCATAATAATACTCACTATATTTATTGCATTCATATGGTACACACATGTCTTAAAATTACAATAATGCTACTCATATGAACCCTTTATTAGGGCTAACAATAAGAGCAGAGGTAGGCCTAGGTTTCAATTATTAATTAAAATTGTTATTTATCAAATAATAATATAAAATTAAAAAAATATGTCATGTAATAAGAAAGAAATACGTCATATTATCCACTTCAAAAACAGAATTATTTTACTTGAAAGTTTGAATTTAATTAAATTACAATAGCCATAACTTTATAGTATATAATTAACATTTATTTATTATTGAAATTTATTATAATATTATTATTTTTGTCATTAAAGTATTCATTTGAATAATAGCATAATAATAATGTAATAGCATTTATTAATTAGATATAATTTTAATTTATTTACAAACAGTGAATATTTTTTCTCGTTTTTAATAATGGGCGGGAGCTCGTTGAATATCCTCACCGACATCGAGTGGGGACTTGAGCTGTGTATGTGTAGCCGAGATCGTGGCAGAGGCAATCTATTGCATGGTCTAAAAGTATGTCGTTGGGGCAGGTCGTCAATGTTAGTATAAAAGTCAGGGTGTTGTATAATAAATTTACAAATTTCGAAAATATGTATAGAACACAAAGTCAAAATTTTAAATTGTTTAAAGCGTGGTCTGCAGCTATCAGTACTACTTAAATTACCAAGAATACGGATGCATCTTTTCTGAATTGTAAATATTTCTCGTGCGTGCACACTATTTCCCCAAAGGATAATTCCGTAACTTAGATGGGAATGAGTGTAAGCATAATAAACGGCCATTGCAGTTATTAGGTCGGTCGTTTTCTTTATCTCTCTCAGTGCGGTGAAACTAGACAACTTTTTCTTATTTTTTTTGTATGTGACATTTTCAATTCATATTTAAACCCAGCAAAGTGAAGCTATGTACTGTTTCTACAGGCGTGTTATTATATGTATATACTAAGTGTGGTGGAGTTTTTTGCGGTGAGTGAAATTGATCTTTGTTTTATTTAAATTTATATCCAAGTTATGGTCAGACATCCAGTTTATGACCTCAGTGAAAACTTGGTGAATTTTTGCATTCACGTTGTCGCCGGTAGCACATGATGTCAAAAGTGCAACATCGTCGGCAAACATGACATAATAACATCGAATTCGATTTTATTATTACATTCAAATTTCGACCATCTCTGAAAAACAAAACAATTTGATTTGACCTCAATTCTAATATCAGTCGAGATGAAGTTTTATTCGAAATGAAATGTCAATAGCAAACAATTTTTTTCAATTGTCCTAATATTGCTGTTCCACTTTATAACTTACTTTCTCCAAAATTCCCCCGCCCCGTTAACATAAACAACCTCTTAACTTTAGTGTTCTCCCCCCATATTGTTACTCTATGTAAATTTATCCACTTAAATAACATATATTTATAAATATTGTTTTGCTGTTTTGTTTTACATTCTCAACTGAGTACTCCCGTAGTCCAACTTACCAACACCGGTTAATGTCCTATTAGAGCTTAGCGAAAATTTTTTTTTTGTTTCGTTTTTTTTTTCTTTCAACTGTGACATTGGCAAAATCATCAGTTCTCATATTGATGGAGCCATAAAAATAAAAAGTGAAGTGAAGTGACAAATTTCACAAGTCACTTGATATTGAACGATATGATAATTGGGGCCGACTCTAGTTTGTCTATGAATTAAATAAAAACTAGAGTCGTGTAACATGCGTGAAAGTTTTTATTTGCCGCCATTCCGCCAGTCGCTACATGCGGTTCCTGAACACATATGACATATGAGAGCTTATAATTTGTGTATAGATAAAGCAGTGTATGTAACTGTACATAATTAGGCATTAAAACACTCGTGAGATGTCCTTGTGAAGCTCGCCTGCCGGCTCGTTTCATAAACCCTCATTCGTATTTTAATGCCTTTCATTATGTAACAGTCACATAAATTACTATTTTCTCATTTTGGGACACTACACTGTCGTCAATAAGTGTGTGCACCGCGTTCTTCGTACCTCTATTTCTTTGATAACCAAATTGTCCTTCGTTTAAAATATTATTCGTTTTCAAGATGATTAAGTAAACGAACCTTCATGAGCTTTTCAAGGATCTTCGCTAAAACTGGTAACAAAGACATAGGTCTGTAGTTCTGTAGATTTGTTTTTTTTACCTTTTTTATATATTGGAATTATTTTTGCTAAAAGTTGACAAATTATTTTTGTTGAAAAGTTGTTCTGGAAAAACCTCCTGATTGTAGCACTCATTGTAGAACATGGAGAGTGGTTCTGCCGGGATGTCCACATTATCTTGAATAACCGTAATAGGCATTTCATCATAGCCAGTTGATTTTTTTCTCTCCGTCTTCCTGAGAATCGTTCGTACCTCACACGGAGTAATTGGTGTCTAACTCATGCGTTTGTTAATTAAATGTAAGTTACTGGAAAGCAAGGAATTAACTTGACCAAGCTCAGACGAAACAGAAGCACTTCCAAAATTAAGTTGGCCTGGCATCTGGTCAGGTTATAACGCTTTATAAAGCCCAGTTTCCAAACAACGTATAGTTGTATAATTCTATACAAAGAAAAATCGACATGGACATTATACAGACTATAATGAATGAAAAATCAAAAAAAGAATCTTTTATGAAGGATGACATTTGTAGGGTTACCAGATTTCATAAAATTTTAAATAGTTGTAGTGTTGTCGATAGTTTTATCGATATATGGTATTCTGCGAGGTAGATCCACAGTCTCAAATTTAGTAATTTTTAATGAGTTTTTGACTTTTAATATGGACGAAGGTAACCAGATTGATGCTGTGTACACAGATTATAGTAAGGCATTCGATCGTATAGATCATAATCTTCTATTATCTAAATTATTAACTCTCGATATACATGGTGATTTGTTTAGATGGTTTACATCGTATGTTTTGTGTAGGTCTCAGTCTGTAGTACTCAATGGCTTTGCTTCTTCATGGGTAACTATTCCTTCTGGTGTTCCCCAAGGTTCGTTACTGGGACCCCTTTTATTTGTGATATTTTTTAATGATATCGGATCATGTTTTATAAATTTAAAGTTCTTATTATTTGCTGACGACATGAAAGTTTTTAAAGTTGTTAATAATACCTCAGACGCGATTCTTTTACAAGAAGATTTAGCAAGACTGGATATATGTTGTACAACTAATAAACTTGACTTAAATGTATCGAAATGTTATTATATAAATTTTACTAGAAAGCGAAATATTTTCAATTATATTTATAGCATTAAAAATTGTAATCTTGCTAGCAATGCCTTTGGATCTGATTTGGGTGTAATTCATGACAGTAAGTTATTGTTTGACCAGCATATTTCTTACATATATGACAAAGCTTACAAAGCTTTAGGATTCATCATTCGTACATCAGAACGGTTTAAAAATATGAAAACCCTGAAAATCCTTTACTGCACTTTTGTTCGTAGCCATCTTGAGTATGCATCCCAAATTTGGAATCCTAGCTATGATACTTACTCTAATAAAATTGAAAAATTACAGAAGAAATTTACTAGATTTTTAAATTACAAATTAAAATTGCCCCAATTGGAATATGTATATCGTTGTAGAAAACTTCATCTGTTACCTTTACACCTGCGAAGAAATATAGCCGATGCCTGTTTTTTGTTGAACATCGCTCAGAGTAAGATTGACTGTCCTGAGCTCCTTAGTAACATTTTACTCAAAGTTCCAGTTAGAGCATTTCGAAAGCATAATTTGCTCCATGTTCCGGTTGGTCGTACCAATTTTAGAGGTAATAGTTATCTGCCAAGATCATTAACATTATTTAACCAGCTCAATGATGACGGTCGCATAGACCTTTTCTGTAATAGCGTTATAAATGTAAAAGCTATTATGATTGATAACTTCTTATCAAATGACTTATAAGGCGATTGTTGTGTTTTCATAATTAGATGTATCATTGTAATTTTAAGCTTGTGTTATTGTAAGATTATTTTCTTAAGTTCAAATGTGGAAGCTTTTAATTGGCATCTGTTTGATCATACTTAAATCTATATTGTAAAAGTAGCTGTAAGCTCCCCAAATATAATAAAATAAAAATAAAATAAATAAAATATTACGACGTTCTAATGATTACTAGTTGCGTTATTGCCTTCTTTATTCTTATTTTGACAGTTGGCCTATTAGTATCGAGATCGACTTTTATTCACATACATTTTAACAAGAATAACCGGATTTTAGTAGCAGTAGAGCTCCTTGTGAAAGAGTTCATCCAGCGCAGTACTGCCACCTTACCTATTTCAGCCGCCAAGCAGTAATGTGAGTATTATTGCGTTCCGGTTTTGAAGGGTAAAGGGTGCTGGTGAAATTACAAGCATATGGAACTTGTCAACTTATGTCTCAGGGTAACGGACGCAGTGGCAGTGCCCCTCAGATCTTTGCGATTTAGACTGAGTAGCATTGTAACTGTTATGGACATGGGTGTAGCTTACCGTTAGGCGCACGATTTGTTCGTTATGTCACTTGATGTTATTAAAAAAAATGATGATCTGTATTGAATTAAATTGAAGAATAGGAAATGAAACTATTTTTCCGGATTTAAATCGCGTATATTTGTTTTTTCAAACAATTCGACGTTTCGGGCCCTTTACAGGCCCCATGGTCACAGTTGACTAGGGTGGTACAGTCATTAATCAGTTACGTCTAATATTAATGCCCGGTTGATAGTCGATAGAATATTAACGGACTGCAATACTTTTGCTCAATGAACTGTTAAATAACACTTCGTCTCCGAAAAATAATAATAATATAATAATAATAATAATAATAACGCACACACTCAACATAGCCCCGCACTAGGGAAACGGGAAGGGGTCGCGGGTGCCATGGACACACACATAGACAACCACAAATTACACCCAAACTCACGAGAGAAATAAATGTAGGTTATACAAATATTTCTCTCGGCCCGGGAATCGAACCTGGGACCTCTGCGTGGCAGTCCGGCATGGTAACCGTTCGGCCACGGAGGTAGTTATAATTATATTAGATAAAAAGACAGAATGCAGTGCTAAATGTGGTTTGACCTAAAATGTGTTTGCACGTCACCGTCCGCAGCGGCCGCGCGCCCCGCGGAGCTCACCGACGAACTCCTGTCTTCCTTCGAGGCCCTCTGGGAGGCGTGCTGCCCCGACCTCCGCGCCCTCCCGCCGCTGGCCGCCCCCTCGTCGCCGGCCCGCGACGCCGACGACAGGGCCGCCATCTCGGCCGAAAGGGAAGAGAGGGCGCCCACGCCGCAAAGCGACGACGAGGGCCCGCCCAGGCTGGCCCGCTTCGTGGTCGGCGCGGCGCCCCCGCCGGCGCCCGTGGA